GTACTTGTTTGCTTCCTTCGCTCCACGGCGCCGTTGTGCTTTTATTTTTAAGGAGCTATGAGGCCCGATGGCAAAACCTGAAACTGCTTCTGCACAAGTTACTCAACGGGTTGTTGCTAGGTAACCAAAAAGTGAGTGAGTTGATGCCAACACCGTATGAGAGGTCACATTTTTGAGCAGCTAAAGTCTCTTCTGTACCTACATCTCCCAGAATGCTGCACAGTTCTGGATCGGAGTTCAGTGAAATTATTGGACATTGCATTGGACAATATCTACTGATATTGATCACGTATCTATCGCGACATATATTATTAATTTATTGTCCAGCACTAGGTATATGCAGCACGAGTGTATTATATTGCCCCTCCCTAACTACGAGGATGTGAAAACTAAAGAAGTGTCTTGCCCACAGTTCACCTGCTGAACTCTGTTTTGGTTTAGGCATGTGTTCCTGCTGCGAGTGTGGCTGGGCGAATATTTTTCCATTGTAAAAATATGAACAGAAATTTGCAACTTTGTTTTTCAGTGTATGTATTGATTAAAAAAAAAAAACTGTTATACATAACATCAATGCAAGTAAATAAGAAATTGTTCCAGAATTGGTTGGAATGGTTGTGGCTGTTAAGTTTTACAATTGGGTTATTGCTTTTTGTTTTAGATTTTTGAATTTATGTCATCAAATCATGGTATTTTTTTCGCACTGCGAGACCCGATTATATCTATTCCACTTTATGAAACACATTTACAGTAAGAGGGGTGAAAAAAAAAAAACTTCCTCCAAATATCTTCTCAAACTTCTCCCAAAGTTTGCCTCCAAGAATTCAAAAAGCACCAACAGATCAATAGATTAAATATAAATAAATCTGAAATTTCAAATAAGACAAAAGCGCTGCAGATTGAAGTGTCTCCCCTGCTCTCCTCCTCCTCTCTCCTCTACGCTGTGGATGCTTGAGTCAAATTGATTACCCCACTCCATCTGCATCATGACTGGCCTCCTCCTGTGTTTGCCGCCTCTGCCTACAGCACAGAGTTAGTGTACAATTACATATAGTTTAATATATCTGCCTGAGCACCTTTAAATAAGCATCACAAGTCCACAAGGTGATTTGTCTTGCAGCCCCATTACTCCATTGTACATCTTGATAGCCAGGGATCGCTCCTAGCTATGTTTAAGCATTAAATAGTGTATTATTATTTCACATAAATCAAGCTGAGATGTGAGGGGGGTATTCATAAATTTTGCATTTCTCACAGACAGTGTTTTAAAGTCGCTCTCTCCCTCCCTCTTCCTCTCCTGAATTTGGGGACTAAAGCAATTGTGCTCCCTGCGCGTGATAGTACATTAAAGATGGGCATACCATGGAGGTATATTCAAAACAACATGTAATGCAGACAGATTAAGTTTGAGTTGCTTTAACACATTCATCATTGCACTGTTTTCATAATAAGTAGCCTTGTTTTGTGCAGGCTTTTTTTTTTTTCTTTCCCCAAGTCAGCCAGATGCACACATGAACACTGTATTGTTATTGTCATGAATAATGGGAGAAAATACTAATAAAGCCCATTTATCATAATATATTTCCAGTTAGCCGTGGCTACTGAATCTTTTATCTGTGCTCAACAACAAGAGGAGGAAATTAAATTTAAAGGTGAATGTTTGCCGTCAGCCGCTTTGTTTCCCTGAATCCCCCGAACCCACCAAACCACTGGTTATTAGTCGTGTGTTTGTGCGAAACGTCTACTCAGGAAATGACTTCACTCAGGAAACTTTGTCGGCTTCGCTCACCAGCATAAGAAGTGCCAGGAGTGCAGCGAGGCCGACAACGCGTTCCTCTCCCAGCTCACCCACCGCTTCAGTGTAAAGGTATACAGAAAATGACAAAAGAGGAAATTGGAGCTGTAGCTGTTTTGGTTTCTCCAAGGACACCTTGCGCGTTCGCTTCAGTTTCATGTCTTTGTTCTGGAGTTCTGATTGGTTCTGACACGCGGTGAGGAACTGCAGGGCTCGAGGTGAAACCTGTGGATTTGTTTGGGACTTTTGACAGTGTTAAATTGTATGAAAATACCATAAAATATGGCAAGAATTTTGATCAAATATATATTTTTTATTATTATTATTTTTTTTGTTTTTCTTGGTTGTTTTTACCACTTTTATTATACTCCAAAATATTTTCAGCAATTTTAACTGTTTTTTTAAACAAACAAAAAAAAAATGCTTCCTCCCACATTGGAGGTTTACAGAAAAAAAAAAAAAACCTAAAACCTTTAAAATCAAAAGTGCGTAGAGTTGAAGAGACATTCCTACTTAGCATAGTAGGACATCTTAAAATTCCATGTCATTTTCTACAACATATATTCAGTTATCTTTGCAGCTAATGTTACTTTTTAAGAACTAGCTCTATAATTTCAGAAGACAAAAAAAGTTATAAAATATGCTAAAATCTTAATTTTTACATTCATATTTAAGAAGCCACACTTGTGTAAAACAACTTATAATCTCAATTACACCTGGATTAATATGAGATTTTTATAGTATGATAACCTACAGGGGATCTTTCCTGCCTACAGCCATTACTATCTAAAGTAATGCTTTAATAAAATAAGTTACAGCAACAATTAATTTCTCTTTGGGATTAATAAAGTATTTTATTTAAATTTCAATTGAAATACCACAGCGTCAGTCAGAGTATTTGCACAAAAAGTGTAACATAATTTTTTTTTTTACTTTTGTTTGAAGTAGAAAAGCAACACGCTTCTGTTAAAATTATTGAAATCAAGCAACTTATAAACAACCACAAACATCCTCTTCTGTCACAAACAGTGTCTTCATAATCAGAGGCTTCTACAAATTTGCTGTACTGCAGACTGCTAAAGGAGATCCTTCCTCCTCACAGCCATCGTCTTTCACAACAAATCTTTGAAGAACCTTGAATCAATATGAGTTGCAATTAATTTCCCTTTGTGGTCAATTAAATATTTTTTAATTGAATTACACGGCCTTTAGGCTGCAGGAATGGTATACCTCATCATTTGAGCAGTTTTGATACTATAATTACCAGTATAACTTTATACTGATAATTGTTGCATGGCTAATAGAAATAATAAATACATTGTTAAAGGCTGCTGACACAACACAATTCCCTGTTAGCCAAGCTAAATGTAAAAAAAAAAAAAAAAAAATAGCTTGAACTGTTTAAATAATCCAAAAGCTCCATCAGTTTTGTTTTTTGTGATTTCATGCCCACATAGCACCAATACACCATAATTAAAGCTAATTTGCACTTTTAAAACATGCTTGTCATATTCAGCACATGATAATTATATGACCTCCTGGCCTGGGGGCTTCACTGCTGTGAGAAAGTGAAAAAAAATAACTTGTTAAAGTCACTGAAAATTGGAAATTGACTCAATGCCAGGACAGTAAGTTGAGGACTTGGAGGGAGCGAAGAGGGGTGGGGGGGGAGGAGAGTCTTTGAACTAGTTTTTGCTTGCAGAAAATATCGCTTCTGGGTTGATATTCTTTCTGAAATGTTTCATGGCGATGAGAATTAAGAAATGAAGCTGCATTGCCAAACTATTCAGTGAAAGGACGGTCCATACCCACAGGTATCCCGTTCCTGTAACATCACCGTTTGTTAAATTTTACAACTTCATATTTATTTGAACCTCTTTTGAACCTTTCATGTTGATGGCATTTTCATTGATTAGTGTCTTTGTCCCATTAGAAATGATTTACTATTATGTTAGTCAGATCTACATGAAGCTACGTGTAAATCTCTTTCTGTGCCTTCATTCCTGGGAAGAACACGTCTTCTGAAGTCAACATGTGCAGGCTGGCTGCATGTTTCCTTCTCACTGCACTCCCAGAAACCTCACTCCTGTCGTCATTTTTTCTTTTTTTTTCTTTTTGTCATGATCGCTCAACTTTCTTCGGTTCTCACACGCACGCACACAACAAACACTAGAAACAACACCTAGGAGGATAAATGCTCAGTTAAACAGAATAAACATAATCCAGACATGCTCCAGTCCTTCTTTGTCTGTTCTGGCTAACTCGCACAGGGATTCGTGATTCCACCAAGAGAGATTAGATGTCCTTCGTCAGATAAAACCTGATCCGCAGCTCCTGAGATAAACAGGAGCTTAATCAAACATCAGATAATCAGGACTGGTTTCACTGCCTCTTTGTTATCAAATGACAGAAGGCCTGTCACAGGTTAAATATTGGCGTTTTGCAAATATAAGCTTTTGCGTTATCATCACTCTCTCATAATTAGTTTCATCACTAATCACACTTTTTTTTATTTATTTATTTATTTATTTTAAGATGGCAGATGCCACCCCGACCTCCTCCACTCCTCCGTTTCCTTTAAATTCTCTGCCTTCTCATGCTATAACAACCCCCACCTCTCTGCCTGTCTATCATCCAACCAAAGGTGCTCTGGGTGGGGCAGGATTTCCATCTTTTGAAGTGAACTTGTCATGTGAGATCTCCATCACCAGACGCTCAGTGCAATCACCAGCACAAGATTAATTGTTTGCGGTGAACCACTTCAAACTTTTTTTTTTTTTTCTTTAGACAGCGCGTTATAGGATGAGCTATTGCGAGGCCCGTCATCATCATCATCATCTGTACACACACCTGTGCATTCTGAGTGCTAAATGTATATTTGGTCACATTTTTGTGCAACATAGAAAAATACATCCTGTCATAAGGATGGTCACACACACATCGTGTGACTTACAAATAATAATAATAAAAAAGAAGTAAATTCTATTTAAAGAGGAAACGGCACGCGTTCTGAAACGTACGCAATACATTTGCACCGACATGATGTGACCCACCTCTCTCGCACATGTACGACTCCAAACAGACTGCAGCAACACAACATTAAGCGCATTTTCCCTTCTTTGTTATCTCCTGCTTCCGTTTTGCCCTTTGGTTAAACATTTTCTTGGCATGCATGATCCCATTTAACTTTGATTTCCTCCTTTTCCAGGACGGCATCCTCGATGGTTCCAATTTCCAGCCCATTCCCCAATTTTCAACCCCAATGACAGACAACACACACTGGAACGGCTGTTCAGCCGGGGAAGGGACTCGGTAAGTGATGATTTTTTTTTTTTCCTTTCTTTTTCTTTTTTTAAAAATCCTGTCCGAGATAAAAAGGCGAGTTTGCAGCAGATAAGGACTTGCCCGAGTGGAGAGCAGGAAGCTTAGAGATAGTTCAAAGGTATGGGAAAACACTGCAGCAGAGAGGGAAATGAATATGAATGTAAAATGTTTATCCAATAATGCAGACTTTTTTTTTTATTCATTCATTTTAAACAAAAATCATTTGAGGGTTTTTTAATTGGAAAACATAATTTATTCAGTTTGTAAAACCATAACTACTTCTGTGAGAAGTTCTGTAAAGGCTAAAAAACCCAAACATATCTATTTATTTGCATTTGAAACAATTTAACATGAAATGTCATTTCATGTAAAATTTTATGACTATAACTTTCTTTAACTTAATTAACAAATATTCACAAAAAATGTTACTTGCTTATTTTTAGAGATATTTTGAGCCCCTGAAAATCAAAATTATATTTCAGTTGTTGCTGTGACTGTGTCTCACATGAAAGGGGCAGCTCATTGTAGGATTTCAAGTAGTTTCTACACAATTCCCTATAACCTACGTTATGAAGCCATATGGATCCTAAAAACCTCTTTTCAGCACAATTTAACTAGGAGCGAACCTGCAAATTCATTCTTTCTGTGTCTCTCTGCAACTCCGTCATAAAGCAGAGCACCCCATTTCCATATCAATCGGATTAGTTCCAAGACCAGGGAAGTAGGAGTAATGTAAGTAAGCGTACAAATTTAAATATAGGACATCAAAAACATTGTTAGGGATTCATTTATTTTTGAAGCAGCCCTGGCTCCCGGTGCCTCTCTGTGAAGATGAGATGAAAATGCATCTCCTTAATTTTATTTCCATTTTATTTTGAAAAGCGCAGTAGTGCTTTAACACTACACAGGCATCACAGGATCCCGATGCTGTTATGTGCTTAACCTCCTTTGTAAAATGAGTATGTCACATTAAGCACTGGTAGAAAATGCAACAGAGCACAGGGCAACTGCATCTTCCACTGCTCGTGCTTTAATGTGGTTCTGATTTGATTTATCTTCCGGATTTTCATACCGTGTGACCGTAACGTGTATTTTATTACTAAGATTACTGATCTGCTTTATTGACACGAATCAATTGAAATTCAAAGAGGAAATAAGTGTTGAAAATGAACGCGGATGGAAAAGGAAATATTTTAAACTTTTCCAAACTATTGGAGAAGTTTGATTTATTTGTAAAATGTATTATAACTAAATTCAAATGTCAAAAATCAAGACGGTGAAGATTGAGTAAGACAATAAAAATTAATAAAAATACAAATTTGTCTAACTTGCATGCACCTTTATTTTGTATTTATTTTTTTTTACACAAATGAACAATTGTTTGGAAGCCATGCAAGACCTGTTTAGATGAGAAGAGATTGTGAGGTCAGAGTGTGCGAATGAGTCACAAAGAGATTATTCAGCAGTCTGGCTGTTGACGGATCAGCGCAGTCAGAACCTCCCTGTCTGGATGCAGAAATAGATGGATGCCTGCCTGTTGCCTCTTCAACCCTTTATGACTTAGTCTGTGTCTCCGTAATTGAAAAACTAGCTCGACTCTGTTGTCTTGGGATTTGTCCTTTTATAATGCGGCTTCAAAACAGGAAAACCAATAGTGGGAATAGACCCCCAAATGTAATTAATTTTGCGGGGGCGGGGAAGGGTAAGAGCGGGGGTTGGGGGGGTATTATTGCAGGAGGAAGAATTCTAATCAGTTGCAGATTCCTTCCTGTTTGGTTAGCGTGACCGTGGCCAATTACCAGTGAACTCTGTGTTACAGTTTCACTTCCTGCGCTACCCAAAAGAAGGGACACAGACCGGCGATGCAGAGCCTGCTCAGACAGAGGGGGGAAAGGAGAGACGGGAGATAGAGGAAGAAATACGAAACAAGATGCAACCTGATGGGGCTGCAGAAAAGCAAACAAAATAGACGACAAGGAAGAAGAAAAAAAAACAAAACAAAATAGTGGTTGAAATCTCCAGCTTGATCTAAGGTGCAGAGACGTGAAGGCACACAGGTCCTTTATCCAGCTAATATAAGACGCAACATGTGGTTTCACAAAGGAAATGAAAGGATTTCTGACCTGAATTTCTTGTACCGGCTGAGTTGTTCTCAGGTAAACTGCGGCACAACGGACTGAACTCAAGTCACAAATGCAATAACACATAACTCAATCACTGCAGCGATGTTATCAAAAGACACAATTTGGCAATGCTGGTTTCCCCTAAATCAAATCAAACTGCAGGACTGAACAACTGAATTAACAATTGCCAAGATGCACCTGAATTCACACGAAGTGTTCTTTGTTTTCTTTTTTTTTTAATCAGTTGTGCTGTAACTGTGCTTCCCTGGAAATTGTCCACACTTTTTTTTTTTTTTTTTTGTTAAACATCCAGAGTCAGGGATTTATATACTGTTGTGACAAGAGGTTTAAAACTAATGATGTGCCAAGAAACCATCTGGTGACCTGGTTCATTCTGAGAAGCCATGTCAGGTGTGCAGCTGGTTGGAAACTTTCAGTGAACACAACACACCGAAGTACCAACAGGAGGCACAAACGACAACAATCTTTACTGTGGGCGTTGCCACTGAAAGAAGACTGAAAGTTCAGAAGACGCGTCAGCTGGTAATTTCGGTGGCATATAATGATGCTTTCACAGATAACAGGAAGGTTTAACAGAGAAAAAGTAAGTTTCTATATCTTTTTGAGCTTTTAACTTGTCTAACAATCCTAAGCTTATGGTAAGGATCTGCGTTCTTTTGGGAATACACTCAGAAATGGTGGTGTTAATGCTAACATGTTAGCATGGTAACATATTAGCATGTTAGCATGGTAGCAAAGAAAACATAGGATTTAATGACTGATTGGAATGGCAACTGTGTCTAATGATGCACAGTCTTACCATGTCTTAGACTGCTTTTTCAGATGTGCTATGTCTTAGTGAATGTTTACTGACTTCTGCATCTATAAATCTTATATAAAAAATGTAGATTTGTTGACGCGATGTAGACATTGTCAGTTCCTCAGAAGTTTCAAGTTGAGCTCTGCTACAACCCGTTTTGCCGAAAGGCTTCGCTTTAGCTTGATACCACTCCTCTGTTCTCTGCTATACCTTTTTCCATATTTTCCCAAATGGTATTTTTTTTTTTTTTTTTTTTGACATGTTACTCTCTCTTTGCTATTAATGCTTAGCTTTAGGTCTACAGTACGGTGCTGGTAATCTACAAAAAGTGTTCCCAGTGGGATATTCATTTATTTACTTTTCAGTGTTTAGTTGAGTATTTGGTTCTGTGTTTAGATGCAATACTTTCGATAGCTGACAATTGCATTACGTGCCCAACAACAGAAGGATTTGTTTGCTTTTTCTAGATAAGTCCCTCAATATATTTTACCACAGCTTCCAGGAGTGTCTTTGATTTCATTGTTGATAATGGAAATGCATGCATGGAGTCATACAGACGTATAAATGTCATGACTGATAAGATCAAATTCCCCTTTTCTAGTAAAATCCAAGAAATCTGTTTTGTGTTAGCCAACAGATGACATGACATTTATTACCATTTTCCAGCACAGTTGCAAGCGTCTCACGAGGCCGGCTACTGAAGCGGTTACACACACAGTAAACTGCTTAGAAGATGTTCAAGGGAATGATGCGCAGAACTGGCAATATGAATGTGAATTCCCTTGGAAGGCAACTTTGCACGCACACACATGCATAGAGGAGAACATGAGAAATGGGCAAAGAGCCACACTATTCAATGTGAACTGGAGGGTCCAAGTCGCTAAACTAATCCTCGTACCACAAGATCCCACTTTCAGCCAAGTCTTTTGCTGCAGCTGCCTGGGATCATTTCACAAACACAAGGTATTCCTGGAAGAATTGATTCTGTTAGATAGTACATTGATCACACACATCGCCTGCGGACAGAAGATGGCTTTACAAGCAATAAGATGGGAGACAATTATATTATTTTAGTGAAATAAGACAGAGTACAAGCAGTGAGTGCCAATAGCCTAGGCAGGGGAGGGGAGGTACGGGCGGGCTCCCTCTGTGGCTGCCTCGGTGTGTTTGTGCTCCATCCTCAAGTGGCACGATAATCCACTAAACTTTCCTGCTCCCGCTCCTCTCAATGCAATCAGGATGCGAAGGCTCACCAGTGATTGCGTTCATTTGTAAAAGCATCCAAGCCAAAATTGAACCCCAAGGCTGATAAACTATAAAGATGCTGATCAGATCGCGGCTAAGGAGTCCACACTTGAGGGCACAAGTGTCAGGGCTGGAGCCAAAAGAGCAATGACTCTGTATACCTCACTCAGAGCCGGGCGACTGCCTCGGAATACAAACAAGAGAGGAGAAAACACAGAAAAACGACAGCGGAAGGCAGCAGGATTTTTCATCAGGCTGCATCTTTCAGAGGCTGGAAGTGTGATCTGTTTGGCAGATTTTCAGTTTTTAAATGCTGTCTTATGCACTCTTTGGGAAAAGAATATAAACACCATGAACTTTTCAATGTGTTTTGTGACAAATCAATTCAAAGCAGCATGCAGTTGTGAGGAAGGAAAAAAAAATCCTGTTTATCAAATCAAAAAAGAATCTGAAAAGTGTTGCATATGTATTTATCCCCCTTTAATTTGATACCCAAAATAAAACTGCCTTCAACTCATCTAATTAGGAAATGGTTTCCACCTTCGTGTAAAAGTAGATCGCGGTGAATTTCACAGTAAAAACAATGGCTTTGTGTAAGCCTTGTTGGAGAATGTTGAACAGCAACATAAATGCCACTGAATACAGAATAAAGTTAGTAGAAATTAATATATTGGTTAAAAATAAAACTTTTAGTCTTTTTTACAGGTTTGCCACATTCCATGCAGAGGACACAACAGACATGTGGAAGAAGGTGTTCACCTCAGATGAGACGAAAATTGATTTTTTTTTTTTTTTTTTTTTTTTTTTTTGCCCAAACCAAAAAAGACCAACTTGTGGAAAAATTGTAC